GGACATGTCCTTTTAAAATTACAACATCAAGAGGTGAGTCCGAAACATGTGACTGTGGAGCTCAGTCATCTGAACAGCACATAGAAAATAATTGAAAAGAAAAAAAAGCTCTAAGAATTGTAATTTTTTGTTCCTAGATTACAAAAGAAACATCACAGAAATGTATTTTTTGTTTGTTGTGAAAATTAAAAAACAACTTTTTTTTTTCTTATAGAATAAAGTCGAGCACTGGAAAAAATGCAAAGAAGATTCATTTCCAAATCCATGTAGCTTATATGTTTATGCTCTGAAACTGTACTTTAAGGGTAAAGACACTCACATGCACACACACACAAACACACACATGCACATACATACCTTAATGGCTTTTTAACATATGCCTTTTCCTACTTCTACTATCCTTGGACATATTTTAACATGCAGAACCCGACCTTTTTCGTTTAATGAAGGACACATGAGGAGTTCTTATTCAAATTCCCTGAGCCCTCTCAATATATTTATGCATGTCCACTTTACGGTCACATGTTTATAACATAAAAGCACCAACATTCTGGCCATGACCCCAGTGACCTCAAGCCTCCTGCGCCGCCCTGACAGCCCCTCCCTTTCTCTTCCACAAAACTCTGAAGGATGTCTGTCAAGTCCTTTTCCATCACTTCAGGTTGGACTGGGACTTTTCAGCAGACAGTCGGACGCTGTGGCTGCTGCTGTCTGTCCACTACAGCAGGGAAGGGGAGCTGCCTCCCCTGGGTGCCCCCTTGTGCCCCACAGACCATATGGCCCGGCATGGCCCTTCTCGATGGGTGAGCCAGTCCGTGGACCACCTGAGGCAGCAGGAGCTCCATAATCACTGGAGACAAGGGCCACTTGACACCGGGCTGACAGATGGTGCTCCAGTACTGCTGCTGCCCCGGACTGCTGTTGCTGTGTGTGTGTGTGTGTGTGTTTCTATGTGTGTTTTGTGTGCATGTCTGTTCAGATTGGGAGTCACAATACAGGAGATGATGTGTCAGGGGTGGTTAAATATGATGGTGGCAGCCCTACTTCGTTTGTCTCTAGGGCAGCCTTAGCCCCGGGCCATGACTGCAGGCGAATTTCATCACATGTAAGGAGCAGAGTCGCAACAGCACATGAGCTGTATCCATTCTGAACGTCCAATCCCAATGTGGCAGTTTACAGTCATTTGAACCTGAATAGAATAGAGTTTTTGTATCTTGACAGAATCTTTTTTTTCTTACGTATAAGAATTTTCTGCTTCAGTGTGGACCAATAGACATGATGGCACAGACGATACTGGTTAGAAGTCGACATGTTTTGGTCTCGTAATTAGATTTAAATGCATTTGTTGAAATAACCACTGAACTGCAAAAAATATCTTATCGAGGGACATTTAATAATTTTGTTTCTGTCAAAGACAACAAATGTTTTGCAGTCAGAAACTTCTTTCCAGTGTATATGAGTTTCAGACTTTCTTCTTATCTATTTTATTAAACTGGAAGCTACTGAAAACTGAAAAAGTCCCACATGCAGTTGTTTAATGAACTACAGACTGGTCTATTGGATGCTTTTGGGGGCAGTATGGCTGTGGATGACAAGATGAATGATAAAAACAGACTGGAATCTAGATTTCAGTTTTTTACTTTCTTTGCATCTTTATTTTCAGTATGTGTTGCCCTTGAACAAATAGCATAGCCAGTAATGTATTACAGTCTGAAATATCAAACCCCTGTCTGTCAGCAGTCATTGTTTCATCTGCATGTCTAGA